ACATTTTTTTTTTGAAAAGCCCGAGGGCTAATTTTATTGAAATTGAAAAGGTACATAAATGTTGTATGAGAGGACCCAATAAAGACGCCCTGCCCATACGATACACAAACACCAACATTCTAAAAAAGATAAAACATACATAAAACTCTAAAATTCATAACTCGCAGAAAACCAGTTGCTAGGGACGAGCCAGCTTGGTCCTGCCTCTAGTTCTAGGAACAAATAACTCGCAGAAAACCAGTTGCTAGGGACGAGCCAACTTGGTCCTGCCTCTAGTTCTAGGAACAGAGCCAACTAACAAATTGCTGAGTGTCGTGGCATTACCCGAAGTTACTAAAGTATCATCCATTAAGTTCCCAAGCTGGGGTGTGCCTCCATTCTTCTTTTTCTTCCTAGATGTGTATACCTGTCATTCCTCATCTGAAGACTGACTTATTTGATCAGTGTGATCAACAGAATGTCGGACATGTAGAAGAGGATGAGCCCCTAGCTCCTGATTAACAGTAACAACGTTCTCATTCTGAAGAGATGGTAAATCTGTCTCCTCAGCACCTGATGCTTCCTGAGGTTGTGGAACTACGATACTATCCTGATTATCGGACCGAAGAATATCCTTTGGAGGTAAGGATCTTGCAGTATTGTTTTCAACGGTGATAGAGACTGTAGGATGCCCAAGTGAACCATCTGCCAATATATCAGTCGGAAGAACAAAAACAGTAGTCTCCGGTAGTGGGAGGGAGAGGTGACATCGTGTCAAACGGTGTTTCAAAAGTCTGTAGAATGCACTCGGGAGCGGAAGAGGGACATGTATGAAGTGGGGCAGATCCAGTAGTATTTTTACTTGGAGGTTTTAGATTTTGATGCAACTGATAACATTGAGAAAGTGAGTGTCCAAACATACGGCAGTGGGTGCAATAAAGAGGTATGTTTAAGTTCTGCTTTATATATATATGAAATAAATAAAGAAATTTACATTCCAGTGTCAGCACTCCATTAAAATTTTTAGTCAAATTCGTTCAACTGCCATCAAATTAAGGATCACACACTTCAAAATTTGTTTATTATTATTTTTTTTTTTTGGGAAGTTGAGCCTTAATGACAACAAGGTTAGATATTAGTGATTAAAAATTAGTGTGTGTTTTGAACTTGAATCTCCTAATTAGAGTAAAAACTCTCTACCAAATCCTCAACAAGCATTGCACTAAAGAGTTCTACAAGTTCTTTATGAATCCAGAAATATAATGGTGCAGGGGCAAGGTAGCGCTCGATGCAGCGCTTCGTTTCAACGGGACAGAAGAGCCTCGAAGCTTCACGGGATAGCGGGATGGGATCGCGGAACAGCGGGGGTGGAATCGCGTCGCGATCTAGGGCTACTTCATGCAACTTCCACACTTGCCTTCTCCTGGAAAGGTCTTTCTTCTAGATTCTTCGTACCTTCCCATTCCTCTTCCTTTTGTGTGGACGTAGGAGGACATAAATAGCTGTCCCTTGCGGGTCAATGAGGCAGTTCTAGTGGAGTTGTCTACTGATTTGTTGTGTGGAGTTTCTTTCCCCCTTGTGGGCTGTATCCGAGGAGGTAGTGGTACTGTGGCTGTATCCTCTCCGAGGTGCTGATTATATCATCTCTTCTTACCTTCCAAAAATCTTGTGCTCTTCACTGCTCAGCCGCCGAACTCTCCTCCGTCACCTCGACAACCAACCATTTCCCCTTCCTGCAGGTTATTACTGCTGTCTCGCCTCCCTAACTCCTTTCAAGCTTCTCCCAACCATCACACTACTGCTGTTGACCACCTACAACCCTTCTCATTTGCCGTCCCTCAGTTCCACACCTTCCCTTCGCTACCACCTGCCTCCCGTGGTAGCCGTCATCCCTCCCAATCATCCCTATCCCTCTAACCGACCTCCACCACCCATTGACATACATTTAGGAGTGCTTGTTTGTATCTTTTTATGTTTTGTTTTGCTATTTCTATTCAAGTCATGTTGTAATCCTATTTTAATATTAATGAAACTTTTCTTTTGTATTTTCATTATTTTTTCTAACAGTTCCGGTATCATTTGGTATCAGAGCTAACTCAACCTTAGTCATATCCTAGGGTTTCCCGGCATCCGTCCCTAACCAATTCACCTCCATCAATTTTTTCCTTCCAATTCCCAACCCTAGCCATGCAACCGTGAAGAGGTATACTGAAATCGACCCGGAAAGAGATTCAATGAAAAATCAATCATCTACAACGGAGACTAGCAGAGCTAGATGAAGGAAACCAAGAAGAGGTTACCTTCGTACGTGACCAAGAGAGTCAAAGAGAGGACATGGACGAGGAGACGAATCCGTTCCACAGGGAAGATCACAATGACGAGGAAAATCGACCATGCAGTTTTGGTATCTAATATCAAAGGAGGTCGAGGGAAGGGTCCTTTTAAAGGTCAGCGAAACTTTGGCATCAAGATTGACCTCCCAGTATTTGAAGGAGGTATGGATCTCGATAAGTTTATCAATTGGATACAATCAGTTGAACAAATTTTTGAATATAAAGATGTACTAGAAGACAAACGGGTCAAGCTAGCCGTTATTAAGCGGAAGAAGAGTGCTTTCCTATGGTGGGAAAATGTGTAGTGACAGAGGAAGAGAGAAGACAATGAAAAGATCAATAATTGACAGAAGATGAAGAAGGTAATGCATAAAAGTACCTCCAACCCACTATCACAAGGATATGTTTCTAAAACTCCAAAACTTGCAGTAGATGATCTTTCAGTTGACGAGTTCACAATTCAATTCGACAACTTGTACAAAAAATGTGAAACCCGCCATCAGCAATGTGGTACACGCTAAAAGATATTTAGACATTAGCCTTGAAGTTGAAAAGACAACAGAAACAGAGCAAACCACAATCATCTTTCAGGTAGTAACCTTCATGCAGGATGTCACCTACAAATAACACGATCAACAGGGGTACCTCGGGAGACACAGACAAATCCGGACAATAGAATGACACTTTAGATCAAAGCGGGAAGAAACAGGAAAACAGTAGCTTCTCCAACATTGTACTGGTCAGGAAATGTTTCGAATGCTATAGTTACGACCACATAGCCTCCAACTGCCCCACGAGCAAAGTAATCTCACTAATTGATCAGGGCGTTGTGGAAGAGATTAGAGATGAAGAGAAAGACGAAGAACAATTTGAGGTGTACCAACTCCAACCAAATGAAGGAGAAGCGTTCGTGATTCGACGAATCCTAAAAATTAAGGACGAGGGATTAGCAGTGACTTCACCACAACATATTCTGCATCCGCTGCACAATGAACAAAAAGGTACACAATCTCATCATCGATGACAAAAGCAATAAGAATGTGACATCAACACAAATGGTAGAGAAATTGAGACTCACAACTTAGATAAATTCCGAGCCATATGCACTGACGTGGCTGGAAAAAGGCTGGAAAAAGAGAATAGAGTTAACATCGATCAGAGATGCTTAATAGAGTTTTCAATTAGAAGCCAGCTGTATGAGCATGTGTGGTGTGACGTAGTTCCCATGGATGTCTGCCACTTTTTGTTGGAAAGACAGTGACAATTTGACCTGAGGACCCAACATGACGGATATAGAAACATGTATTCTTTCACAAAGGATGGGAAGCGCATCATCTTGCTTCCTTCGACGGAGTTCGAGGTCCTGGGATCCCAAATCAACAGAACAATATCAGTGGAACCAATTATAGTAATGACATCAGACAAGAGGATTGAGACACCTAACTCGAACACATGACAGATACGACTGAGGTTATGTCAAGTCGACGCCGTACCAGCAACACCACTTCCGCGCAAGAAGAGTCAGATTATTCTCATTACATGCTCGTTTGAACCGATCACGGGTTACTTTGGGAAGATTCAACAGTGTAAGCGCGGTCCACAACCTCAAGAGGACAGATCGATATTGACATTTAGTCGCAAGCTGGGGAAGACTCCCAAATACCTTGGGCGACAATGCCGTTGACAATGGGATCCAGGGTGGCTGATGACTAAGCGGAAGCTTTGACCTATGAAGTCAAAGCTCCCCCAACTCCAGAAGACTAACGTAGGCGCTAGGCAGCGCCCTATTGCAGGTGTTGAAACTGCCCAATGTGGGTGTTTCATTTCTGCGGCACAGAAGGCCCGCGAAGCTTCGTGGGACAGCGGGACGGGAACGTAGGACAGCGGGGGTGGGATCGCGATCTCGCATGTGGGAACAAGAAGCAGATCACAAAACCTCGTTATCTAGGGCTACTTCATGCACCTTCCACACTTTCCTTCTTCTGAAAAGGTCTTTTTTCAAAATTCTTCTTACCTTCCCACTCTTTTTCCTTTTGTGTAGAAGTAGGAGACTATAAATAGGTGTCGCCTATGTGTGTATGAGGCAGTTTTAGTGAACTTGTCTTCTGATCTCCTGTGTGGAGTTTCTTTCCCCTTTGTGGCTGTATCCGAGGAGGAGATGGTGCTTCGGTCGTATCCTCTTCGATGTGGTGACTGTATCCTCCCTTCTTCTCCCCACTCCTTAGCCGCCGAACCTTCCCCCTGTCACCCCGACACCCAACCATTTTCCCTTCCTGTAGGTTATTACTGCTGTCTTGCCTTCCTAACTCTTTTCAAGCATCTCCCAACCACCACACTACCGCTGCCGACCACCTATAACCCTTCACATTTGTTGTCCCTATAGTTCCGCACCTTCCCTTCGCTATAGCCGTCATCCCTCCAAATCATCTGCATCCCTCTAGCCGACCTCCACCACCCATTAAGATACTGTTGGGAGTGTTTTTTTGTGTCATTTTATATTTGTGTTG